TTATTCAAAAAAATACGTAAATTTTTAGCGCTGATTGTTCCAGAAGAACGAATGGCTTCTCCCAAATAGATCAGACATTATGTATTCCGCTCCCAGCGCAATCTGACAGTCATAAGCCAGCTCCGCAGTGTGCACTCTGGGCAGACAAAAGACTTTTCGGAATTGCTCAAAAAAGGAAGTCTTGTATAAAAATCGACGTGTAACTCAAAGAAACAAATAATGACGCCTGTATGAGCTGCCACAAGCAAATAGCCTGATTCTGGAGCATCCTAAAAGCATAGGCCAGTTCTGAAAGAAGTATCCTGGACGAACTAAGTTTTTCAGAAGTGGACGGAGCATGGACTCGCGCAAAAAATCGATGCATAAGTTCTTCAGCAAGACTAGGATAGTTAATTGGCTTGCACGTGCGGCAATCAACCGACTATGAGATCCTTTCAGAAGAAACAACATGAATGTGTGAAAACTGTTGCAGGACCATACCACGTTATAATTGAGTTAAACTTCAAGTCCGAAAAGTAAAAATTCTCCCAGCAGAAACGAATTCCGTATTGGCGAAATCTTCAGCGACATCGGAAATGGTACGCTTCAACCAATATATATATATATATATATATATATATATATATATATACGATTATATATATATATATATATATATATATATATATATAATATGAAGCATACCATTTATGTATATATAACATTACGTACGTTCGGTGGCGTGAAGTTTGGCACTGAATTAGACATCAGTATGAGTATATACCAACAACTTAGCGCATTAAAAATTAATTGAAAAAAGCAACCTTTGTAACATTCGATATAAACTTGAGCATCTGTTTGCTTATTTGCTCACCAACAAATACCATGGCTTGGACAGTATGAACCCGTTGGCGAATTATGACAAAACATGTTTTGCCTTTTGTACGGGATGTGTGAAGACGACCTCTTACCCAAACCTTCAAAGGCAAAATTAGAAAGAGGACCTGTCAGCTTCGCAAGTTTTCGATAATAAAAATGTAAACTAACAAGAACGTACTTCTTTGCCTTCTAATGAGGTATTCAGCTTGCTAACGTCAATAAATGGCAGATCTTTCTCTTCGGAAGACATTATCAAGTCGTAGGTTCCATACCGACCTTTTGAGATATCTTCGACCTCAGCTTCTTCAGCCGTCTTTTTTGCCATTTCAGCAGCCTCCTATATAGCTTACCAAACCAGTGAAAAAAATCAAAATAGAAAAATAAAAGTAATAAAATGGTGCCATAGGTTAAGAAAGAAAGTTCATTTTGAAGTATTATTTTTATTAACAATGTTATAGTTCTGTAGGAATTACAAAATTCGCATTAGAAACAATACTTTGCAAAGCTAAGATACCTCACTAGACCAAAATTTTAGCACTAATGCTTCTCCAATATTAGAAAGGCTTATGTACTGTAGCTCGATTCAAAACAAAAAAAAAACTCAGTAAAAAACTTAACTAATTTTCAATCTTGTCTAGTTGAAAGTGACTTAAAAGTCGCGGACTCCTCTTCATGAAAGGACACATTATAAGCAACACACCAGTGGTACTTTAAAAGACAACATCGAGTCCAGAAAGAACTTTTCTCTAAAAACCCGCCGTCAATCACCTAGTTCTGGCAGTTTCATTAGACAGCATCAAAACCGACTTTCAATATATTACAGTTAACTTGACGACGTAGCCCTGCCAATTTAGAACCGTTCAAATCTCACTTTTTACACAATTATTGATTTTTCTCTTCTGAACTGTTAAAAGAATCTGTAAATAGAGTTTTGAGGCGCCCTTGATTGGAAAAGTGATAGAAGAATTCTGGCAAAACTTATTCGTCCTACACGTCACCGTATTGAAACAAAATTAATCTTTTGCTTACATTGTTCACACATTTTCTACTGCTGATTTCCAATACCATGTGTTCAATTACTTTCGACTTCGAGTTCATTACAGATCTTATGCAAGAAAGCTATTCCTTCCACACAATACTAATTTTAGCATAATAAATGCTCTCTCCAAAAAAGTTGTCATTTACCCTCCTAATCAAGCAAATTCGTACCTCAAGCCTCTTTTCAGCCTTCTTCTTCTGCCTCAGGAGCTTATTCAATTGTTTCTTAGAAAGCTTATCACCTTCGCCACCTTCTATATCTTGCATGTTGTCGGGTTTGTTCTCATCCATTACGTTGCCAGCTGCTTCGCCCAAATCCAGCCTCACCCTAATAAGAACCTTAAAGACGAAACAAACATCACACGCAAACTGAAGGACAAAGTCAGTTTTCACTCTCAAAGTTACTGTTTCTCCAGAAAAAAGAAGCACTCCAGTCTTTAAAACTCTAATTTCTCAATAAATTCCAAAGCACTGCTCCCGAAATGGCAGCATACCAAGCGTCTCGAGAAACTAAACAAAAAACACTTTTAAACTCTCAACTATCCAGAAGTGGCCTGATACAACCAATTCACAGTATAATGATTAGCACAATTTCAGAGTTTCACAGGAAGTGCTGGAAAAAAAAGAAAAAAGACCAGA